GACTTTCCCCCAGACAGATAGCAAGGAATCCCCATGGGACATTTCCAGCACACAGGGCCCTTCTTAAGTGGGGACAGGGAAATTCCTCACAAGGGACCTTTCCCCGGATGAGTACCAGATGGGCAAAAAGGGTGTATCCCCTCAGTTGGCTTAAGGAGAGCTTTCCCTGGTGAACACAAGAGTTTTCTCCAGATGGGCACAGGGGACCTCCCTCAACCTGGTCATTCTCTAGATGGGCACAAGGGGAACTTTCCCAGCTGAACACAAGGAGTCCTTCTTCGAGATGGCCATAAGGACATTTTCCCCAGAAAGGTACAAGGGGACTTCCCTAGCTGAGCAGGGACAATCCCCAGTTGGGCTAACTGGAAATAAGAGTCTCACAAGTACTTTTCTGCTTTGGCTGGTTTTGAACCACAATCCTTTTATCTCAGCCTCCCAAGTAGCTAGGATTACAGGCGTGAGCCACCGGTGCCTGGCTGCTTTCTGTTTTTTTAAAGAACTTTTTGTGCCCTAGAGCCATGTTTTTTCCATGTGTGTGTGTGTGTGTGTGTGTGTGTGTGTGTGTTACTGGGCTTTGTGCTTGATAGGCATGTACTCTATCACCCCCACCCCGTCCCCTGTTTTTCTTTGTTGGTTGTGGGGCTTGAACTTGGTCTGGGCGCTGTCCCTCAGCTCTTCAGCTCAAGGCAAGTGCTCTACCATTTGAGCCACAGCGCCACTTCCGGTTTTCTGGAAGTTTTTTGGAGATGAGTCTCGCAGACTTTCCTTGCCTGGGCTGGTTTAAACCGCAATCCTCAGATTTTCCTGCCTAGGCTGTTTTCAAACCTAAGATATCATAATCTCAGCCTTTAAGTAGCTAGGGTTACAGGCATGAGCCACTGGTGCCTAGCTAAGAGTTTTGTTTTTAATTGAGCCACTGGTGCCCAGCTCTGCCCCCCACCCTTTAGTTATTTTTCAGGTAGGTAGGGTCTCACTTTTGCCTGGGGTGGCGTTGGATCACAATCCTCCTATGCCTGCCACGTAGCTGAGAGAATAAGGAGTGTGGATTAGATGATGCAGGAAGGTCAGCTCCATGGTGGTAGGGAAGTCATGGGGGAAGAACCAGTGTGGAGGAGGGAAGGGTCCAGACCAGGGTTGGACTGGCCTCATGACCAGCCTTCGGAGGGAAGCCCTTCCCCCCTCCCACACCAGCCAGAGAACTTCTCTATGTGGGATGGTAGGAGGTGTCTGTGGAGGGCCAGGGACCTAGGTGTGTTCTTCGGCCAGTAAGGAATATGCTCATAACCGAGCTCTGTAGGGAGCTCAGAGATAGCAGCTCGGGCAGAAGGACGATGGAAGGCCATCCAGATGAGAGGGAACAGAGGCAGAAGGGACCACCAAGGAGGAGCCCACTGGAGCCCAGCCAGCTCTCAAATAGAAGAGTTGGCTTTGAATGAGCAGCTACTGCACACCAAAGGTCTAAAACCACTTGAAAGCGTGACAGAAAGTGTGCCATGTATAACTACGAGAAATTGTTGGCTGGGAAGGTGGCTCAGTGGTAGAGCGCTTGCCTAGCATGCTTGAAACCTGGGTTCCATTCCTCAGCACCACATACACAGAAAAAGTCAGAAGTGGTGCTGTGGCTCAGGTGGCAGAGTGCTAGCCTTGAGTAAAAGAGGCTCAGGGACAGTGCCCGGGTCCTGAGTTCAAGCCGTAGGATTGGCAAAAGAAAAAGAAAAAAAAATTGTTGCTAAACTAAACTGTCATAATTTAAAACTTCTGTTCATCAAAAGGCACTATTAAGAAAGGGACAGATGGGCTGGGAAGGAGGCTCAGTGGTAGAGCGCTTGCCTTGCATGCCTGAGGCCCTGGGTTCGATTCCTCAACACCACATAAGCAAAAAGAAAAAAGCCAGAAGTGGCGCTGTGGCTCAAGTGGTAGAGAGCTCGCCTTGAGCTGAAGAGCTCAGGACAGCACCCAAGCCCAGATTTCAAGCCCCATGACCGACAAAAAAAAAAAAAAAAGTACTGGAATAGCTGGAAATGGATCTGTAGTTTGGGTGGTAGAGTGTTAGCTTTAAGCACAAAAGATCAGGGATAGTGCCTAAGTCCTGAGTTCAAGCTCCAGGACCAGCAAAAAACCAAAACCAAAACCAATACCAATAACAAAAAAAAAAAAAAAAAAAAACAGAAAACAAACCAGAAAACTCATCTTTCTTGGTGCCAGTGGCTCATGACTATAATCCCAGTGACTCGGAAGGCTAAAGATCTGAAGATTTGGGTTTGAAGGCAGCCCAGAAAGAAAGTACATGAGACTTTTATCTCTGATTAACCTCCCAAGAGTTGGAAGCAGAGCTGTGCTTCAAGTGGTAGAATACTAGCCCTAAGCCAAAAAGCAAAGAGACAGCACTCAGGTCCTTAGTTCAAGCCCCAGTACTGGAACAAAAGAGGAAAAAAACAGCACTAAGCTGGGCTGGAGTTATGACTCAATTAGTTTAGCCAAGCAAGCAAACAAAGCAAACATGAGGCCCTGAGATAAAATCTCCATACCAAAGCTGGGCGCTGGTGGCTCACGCCTGTCATCCTAGCTACTCTGGAGGCTGAGATCTGAGATCATGGTCCAAAGCCAGCCTGGGCAGGAAAGCCTGTGAGACTCCTATGTCCTATTAACCACCAGAAACCTGGACGCATTACTGCTGGTAGAGTGCTACCCTTGAGCAGAAAAAGCTCAGGGGCAAACGAAAACGACAATGAGAATTCTTGGGTTTAATGCACGGAACTACAAGCAAAACAAAATGAAATACAACAAATTCTACAAAATCAACAAGAAAGATGCAGAATAGTGGCAAAATCACTGAAGAAACACATTTTCAGTGGAGAGGATGAACCAATAGTGAGTGGCTTTTAATTTTTTCAGTGCTGAGCATGGAAACCAGTGTCTTGTTTATGCTAGTTAAATGCTCTCCCACGGAGCTACATCCAGGCCCTTGTTTTTTTGACCCAAGTCTTACTATGTACTTTAGGCTAGATAAATACTCCCGATTCTTCTGCCTCTACCTCCATAATGCTGGGATTAAGGTATGACCCTCAGTACCTGGCTACATACATCCTGTTGTCTCCAAGCTCAAGATCTGTCTGGGATCGTTACCAGGATCCTCAGGGTGAGAGTAACCTACGGATAACCTCTCACTCTGCACCTGATGTACAGTTAACAGAGGGACTTTGGGACCCAACTCTCTCGTCTGCTGGCTGTGTGGCTTTGTGCAAGTTATTCCCCTCCTCTGAGCTTCATGCCCTTCAGAAAGAAGGGTACTCTCGGTGCCTAGCTCAGGGTTAGAGTTTACAGAAAGATGCCCCAGGGCTTGGCACGGGCCCAGGAGATGCTGAGGACCCTGCTTCCCCCCTGGAGCCAGTGGCCGTTTGGTTTTGGGTCTGTACACAGAAGTCAAAGTCAGGAGTGAACCCATTTTGTCCCGTGTCCTTCCCTGCATTCTGTGAGGCCTAGGCACCCTGCCCCTCACCTGACACAGTGGGAGCCCTCCTCCAAAGGCATTTTATGTCCCCACGTCTCCTCCAGCCCCATCAGCAGTTCAGAAACTCTCAGGAGGTCCCTGCAAGTCCTGGAGGTCATCCCCGGTAGGTTCAGGTCCTCCTCTGGTGGCAGAACAATCTGCAGCGTTGGGCTGGGGACAGCAGGTGGGGCTGGAATAAAGTTTCACAGTGCAACAGAGCACAGGTACCCTTCTGCGTGGGAAGGGAGGTACAGTGCTGATTGCTGAGTAACATTCTCTGGCCGGCGTCTGGCGTGACCTTCGCTGGAGCCAGCCCTTGGCCTGGCACTACAACAGAAAGATGTCTCTCACATAGCTGGAGGCTCCTCAAATGCCATCTATTTGTGGCCTGGCCCTGAGACTGGCCCAAGTCACATGGGAGCCTAGGAGTGTGGTATTTTGGGCCATGGGGGGTGGAGCTTGCAGCGCAAGCCCAATACCATGCCGCTGTGGAACAGGCTGCTAGATGCCCTGCTCCATGTCACCGGCCGGCTGCTGAGACCCAGGTAGGCCACCGTTAGACCCTCATTCTTGTCTAGGGGTCCCAGTGGCAGGTAGTACCCACCAAGTCCTCTCTGGGATCAGAGAGTGAGGCAAGGGTCAGAAGCCACAGTGCCTTAGTCTCCAGGCATCTCTCCCTCAGAGTGCCCATCCCACTAGGTCTAGCACAGCTGAGAGAGAGCCCTAGAGTAGCCCCCTTAGGGGTCCGAGGATGGAGTCTCCAGCCAGCTTGAGTCACCTTGGTTAACTGAGGTGGGGAGTTGGGCGAGACTGAATGGGGAGGTGTAGACCTTGAGGACGGCCTGGTCGGGAGACTCACCGCGGCTCCATGATCTCAGCCCCAGGCTGTTCCTGTTGACCCTGGAGCCAGCTCTGACTGGTCCCAGCAATTGACCTTGGTGGATGCAGAGGAAGCATGTCCTAGCAGAGCGGGTGGAAGGTCATCCCCCTGGAGGCTGGTCACCTGCTGGGCACGAGGCCCCTCCTCTGTGGCCTGCCGCCATCTGGGTCACACCGGGACAGGTCACTGGAGGAACGGACCCCAGTGGTCCTGGGTGCAGACCGCGGTGGAGGGAGGCGAAAAGGGGGGTCAGCCCCACCGAGCCCATTTGAGATGTGTGGGAACACCATTGGAACACGGCCATGGGGTTTACAGGTTACTTCGCTAATATGAAATCCATTTGATTTTAGGACTGTGACAATGTGTCATGGTAGTTACCATTTGGAGTTGAGTTGGAAATAGGGAAAGTTGGAGTTAGTGTTTTCTAACTCAAGAATGAGCTAGGTTTGAAAGCAGCAGAGCCTCCCCTCTGGGACCCTTCCAGGCGGGGATGAAGAGCCGGGGAGGGGGCGGGTGCCCTTGGGGTGGGCAGGGTGGCAGTGGGTTCTGCTCAGCCTAGGGGGCCTGGATGTGTGAAGGCCCCCCTGGCCCCAAGTCCTGCTGTTGCTCCAGCACCTCCGCTGATCAGCGATGGACAACTTCCAGTACAGTGTCCAGCTCAGTGAGCAGGACTGGGCCGAGTTCTCAGCCACCACTGATGAGTGTGGCCTCTTGCAGGCTGGCCTGGCCTCCGGAGATGAGCTCTTGTCCAGTGACGCTGACCAAGGGGACAGCAGTGGCGGCAGCCCCCCGGGGCCCCCACCACTCCTCAGTGGGCCGCTGGCTTCCAGGGGGAGGGGCTGCTGGGCCTGCAAGGAGGGGGACGTGGCTACCCAGCAGCTGGTCAGCAGGTCTCAGTGTGAGCCTGTCCTGGCTCTAGGGGCCGGCCAGCAGGAAGCCGGCACGTCCACACATTCAGAAGCCCTGCCGGGCCCCAGCTTGGGTGCTGCCCCTGCCAGCCAATGTTCCTTCCTCCCAGCGTCCACAGCTTCTAGAGGGGAGATGCAGAGGCTTCTACAGGGCCCTGCCTCAAGCCCTGCTGGTGACCCCTCTCCAAGTCCTGAGTCCCCAGCCTGCAGTGCTCCTTCCCAGAAGCTCCCTGAGAGCCCTGGGGCTTCACGGCGCAGCCCTGGCCGCAAGAAGAGGCGTGGTGTGGGCGCCAAAGGCGGTGAGCGCTCGGGAGGCCCGGGCCCTTCTGCGGCAGCGTCCCACGCTCCCGAGGCCAGTTCCAAGGAGGGTCTTGAGGCGGGGACAGCAAAACTGACAGCAGGAGCCTTGAAAGACAAGCCAGATCCAGACTCTGCAGGTGCTCGTGAGCCAGGCTCTGGTCCCTCTGAAGAGGTTGCCAGAAGAGGGCCAGGCTTGGATCTACCTACGTCTGTGCCCACAACTGAGCAAGGTGCAGACCAGATCAGACTGGCATCCAGAGCTGAGCCACACACAGCGTCCAAGGTTTACCCAGATGTCTCCATGGCTAAGCCAGATGCGGCTCTGTCCGCCCCAGTCTCCAAGGTTCAACCAGACATGGCTTCGTCTGTACCTGCCACCAAACTTCAATTTGACACGGCTTTTTCTGTATCTACCTGTAAGCCTCAACCTGACATGGTTTTATCTGCATCTGCATGCAAGCTTCAACCTAACATAGCTTTATGTACGCCTACCTATAAGCCTGATACGACTCTGTCTACACCTGCCACCAATCCTCAACCTGACACTGCTTCGTCTACACCTGCCAATAAGCCTCAACCCAACATGGGTCTGTCTACATCTGCCTCTAAGCCTGACATAACTTTATTTACACCTGCCTCCACCCCTCACCCGGAGAGGACTATGTCTGCACCGGCCCCCACTCACGGACATCACATGGACTCGCCCGTAGCAGGCCCAGGGGCAAAGCCAGAGGGGGATTTGACCACACCTGTCTCCGCGGTTGTGCTGCCCCAAGTTCTGCCTTACTCAGCTTCCAAGGCCAGGTCTGAAGAGAGTGTACCTAGCCCTACTGCTCCCTCCTCAACCCCCGTACCCTGGGCTGAGCCCACTCTGGCAGACACGGAGGTGTCAGTGGGTCAAGGGGGTTACCAAGAGAAGCCTGGAAGAGAGCCCTTAGCCGGGACCCCTGGACACCCTTCTGGGGGGGCCCCACAGGGCCCTGTCCAAGTCACCAAGAAGAAGAAAGTTCGCTTTTCTATGGCTCTGCCCAACCCTGAGGAGCCAGGGTCAGGAGAGGCCACAGGCCCACCCCCCCCAGCTGCACCCCGTTCCCCAGCCCCCCAGGCTCGCGGCGGGGCTTCAGCCTGGGATGCTGTGGCTGTGGGGCCCCGCGCCCCCCCGCCTCGGATCCTCAAGCACCTACCACCTCCATCCCCCTCTGCCTCCTCAGTGGGGCCCGAGCCTGGAGGCCGCTTTGCAGTGACCCTTCCCGAGGCTTATGAGTTCTTCTTCTGTGACACCATCGAGGAAGAGGATGAGGACATGCAGGATGAGGCAGGGGACGGTCAGGCCCTGGGGGAAGTCCAGTGGCCAGATACCTGTGAGTTCTTCTTCCAGGACTTCAGGGTCCAGAGACCAAGGCACCAAAGGCACTTAGTGCCAAAAGCACCCCCAGGAGCTGAGTGTGGAGCAGCACCTCCCCCTGGGGACCCTGTGCCCATCTCCATCCCTGAGGCCTACGAACACTTCTTTGGAGAGGACAGGCTTGACAGCAGGCCCGCCCCCCTTCACCAGCTACAGCGCTTGGAGCCTCTAAAGGAACTGGAGCTTGGGCTGCCCCCTGAGCCGGGCCCAGCCACAGCAGAACAATTCAGCCTGGCGGTCAGGCAAGCAGGTAGGTGTTGATTAGGCCGATCTAGGTCCTGGGAACACGCTGTCCAGGGAGCTAGGCCAAGGGGCCGTGGGGGAGGGGTTAGCCAAGAGGGGTGGTGCTTTAGGATGGGTGGGAGAAACGGCAAGTCCAGCCATTCCAGGACACAGTCCAGTTGGGGTAGAACAGGCAACACAGCCATTCCGGTTTGGCTCTGCAGTGACCGCTGCCTCGAGTCCAGGTTGAAGTGCTAGCATGTGCCCTGTGGGAAATAGCGTCCCACGGGAAGCTAGGTCATAGACAGGGAGGTGAAGACCACAGAGTCACTCCCTCAACGGTCGTGATTCGATTACGACACGTCACCCAGTGTCTTGAGGAAGAAACATCATAGGAGAATACGACGCGTGTGTCCAGACAGGCAGACAGGAGTGTTCCTACGCAGGGCAGGGGTGTTCCACAGCAACACATGCTATGGCAACCGTGTCTTAGAGCAAGTGTGTCCCAGGAGAAGCGAGTCCAACGTGTGCACCGGGAACACCATGCCTCACGGGACCAACGGAGGGTGCACTTCTCTTTCCTAGATGAGCTCCGGGGTCCCTTCACCTCTTTTACCTTTAGCCAGAATGACATGTGCCTGGTGTTTGTGGCTTTTGCCACTTGGGCTGTGAGAACCTCAGATCTACATACCCCAGACGCTTGGAAAACAGGTTTGAGGGCTCTGGGGGTGGAGGGGCTATGATGTCCATCTCCCCTGCTGGGCCGGCAGGGGGACAGGTGCCCAGGAGTTTCAGGCCCTCTGTGACCTTATTTTTCCCGTGGCTGACCTGCCTCCGACCCACTGGGCTTGCCCCGCCCTGTGTGGACTGGGTCTTGTGGGTGGAGCCGGTGACCAGCTGGAGACCATATGCTTCTTTTGCAGTCTTGCTGGCCAACATTGGCACCGTCTCTGCCATCCGCTACTTTCGCCAGCAGATGAGGCAAGGACGCAGCCCCAGCCGAAACCCCAGCCCCAGCCCCAGCCGCTAGGAGCCAGGCTGGCCTGGGAGGTGCGGGACGCTGAGACCAGCCCAGGGGCCCTTGGACAAGGTGCTGCCCCCCTCCTCACTCTCTGACACCTATCTCCTATGGTATCTGGGAAAGAACCAGCATCTTATGTGTCAGCCTCCTTGGACTCTACCGTGAGGCCAGCCAGTAGCCAAGGTCACTCCCCATCCCTGGTAGGAAGGAGATTCAGGTGCTGAGCGGAAAGCTATTTAGGAGGGCATTGGATTAGCAAGTGTAAAACAAGGCACTCAATTAAGTTTGAATCTCAGACATGCAATCCTTGGGATGTTTATCTGAAATTTAACTTTACTGAGCACTGCATTTCATTGGCTCACATGCTAAGGACAGTGGGAGAAGAAAGCATCAGGGCAGCAAGGTCCTGCTGGATCTTGAACACTGGACAGGACATTGGGTGACTTCAAAGCTTAGGAATGGGGGACGTTCGAGGACTCTACTCTGGGCCTCTAAGGCCCTCTGACTCCTGAACCTAGAGGGACCAGGGCCACAGCTGGCTTAGGCCAGGCCCGAGTTGGCGAGCAAGTGCCTGGGGGGAAACCTCTGAAGGCTCCTGCAGCTCCCGCTGGGTAGGTCTGCGGAGCAGAGATGGCGCCCTGGGGTCCAGAAGGAGGGGCAGATGGAACTGAGGCCTTCAGTGCAGGCAGCATGAATGGGACTGAGGCTGAGTGGCCGTGGAGTGGGGACTGAGGCTGAGTGGCTGTGGAGTGGGAAAGCGGCAGAGTGGCCCAAGGTGGCAGAATGATGGCAGGACAGGGTAAGGCTCTGTCCGAGGCGGCATGGCCAGAGCCCCTAGGATAATGGAAACCTGGCTGCTCTGCGTGAACACAGACAAGCACCAATAAAGTCTCTTTTCCTGTTTATAGTGTCGGTGTTGGTGCCTCTGACCCCACATTGCCAGCAATGACTGACCATCTCACCCTGATTGCTGGGCACTCTCCCACATCTGCTTTCAATAGTCTCTGACCCCTATCGACCTTTCACCCTCATGCCCTCTGAACTATCACACTGGCAACCTGACTTTCTTAACTTCACATTCATGGTATCACCCCAGTTCCAAGTAAAGCCCACCACCAGACCTCTCTCCCTCCCTTCCCCATGGACAGAGCTTCGGGAGGGCTCTGGCGGGTGTCCAGGCCTCCTCTGTATCTTCCTGGGTTGTTGTTGATGCTGGCCATGATATCACTACGATGAGGTGCTTCTGCTGGCCTTCGTAGCTGCTGGTGAGGCAGAGGGGCCCAGAATCCGGGCAAGGGTGCTGCTACTCTCAGATCCCGAGGAAGCCCTTGATCTGATGGAGTCAGACTAATCTGGATCTGAAGTGGGTCGGAGGGCGGGATGGCTGCAGACGCCCTCCAGGTCGGCACTGATGAGCGCTCCTGAGGAGCGGCTTGCCTGGAGCCCATCAGATCCATTGGATGAGCCCCCCCTCTGCCTCGGGCCTCCTAAGGTGTGGCCACTTCTGGTGGGAGGGAGACGAGGTCTTCTCCCAGACCGAGGACTCTCTATCTGGTGGGCAGGGCAGAGGCACATCAGGCCTAGGCCTGCAAGAAGCAACACCCATCACTTTACCCAGCAGAGACAGACTCTTCCCTCACCTGGAGGAAGTTGTAGGGGACTGGGTGCATCTTCCCTTGCAGGGGTAACCTGGGAACACAAAACACAAGTCTGAGAGCTGGAGAAGACTGGCCCCCCAACCCGCCAGGACCCTCTCGCCTTTGCCTTGGGGTCCCCACCCCGCTGTGGCTCCCCATCAGGCTGTACCCCCTAACCCCTGTCCCTGGTCTCCCTGCTCCTTCTCTCTCCCCCACCATCCTCAAGACTTCTTTGAGCCCAGGGCATGGCCTCCTCTTACCAGGTGGGGGCTGCTACCCATAAGTTGTGGAGAGTCAGGGGGACGTGTCGCCTGGCCTTTGACAGAGCCTCGGCGCCTCTGAGAGGCGCGAGACTGTGGGGCTCTTTTGCTGGAGAGCAAATAGGGACCCAGGAGACCAGGGGTGCTGGAGAGTCTGGAGCTAGAGTCAGAGACAGGCACCGAAGGGAACAGGCTAGATGGGTCTGGTCCAGGTGACGTTCGCACAGCACTGAAGATCTGCCAGAAAGTGGGAAAACAGGGGCCCCAGGACTGGACCACTGTGGAGCTCAGGGACCCTTAGCCCAAAGATACACCCCCTCCCCACCCCGCTTTTCTTCCCTTCATAGCCTGAGGGCTGCTATGTTACCCACACCGACCTCATCCAGGCCTTGGACATCTGTGAGCTTGCGATGGGAGGTGGCAGGTGGTGTGTAGGGATCCGCGTACAGCGGGGAGTGTGGTGTGTCCAGAGAGTGGTCTAGTGCCTCTGGGCTGTTCTCCAGGTCTGGCCCTTTGACCTACAGAAGGTGAGAGATACAGGTCCCTCTAGCTAGAAAGCAGCCAGAGTATTTTATCCTCTGAGCAAGAGATTTTTCTTTCCTTTTTTTTTTTTTTTGGTTGTGGGGCTTGAACTCTGGGCCTGGGCGCTGTCCCTCAGCTCTTCAGCTCAAGGCTAGTGCTCTACCACTTAAGCTACAGCACCACTTCTGGTTTTTTGGTGGTTTATTGGAGATAAGAGTTTCATGGACTTTCCTGACCAGGCTGGCTTTGAACCGCGATCCTCAGATCTTAGCCTCCTGAGTAGCTAGGATGACTCCCGTGAGCCACCGGCGCCTGGCCCCCAGTGAAACTTTTTTTTTTTTTTGGTCGGTCATGGGGCTTGAACTCTGGGCCTGGGCGCCGTCCCTCAGCTCTTCAGCTCAAGGCGAGCACTCTACCACTTGAGCTATAGCGCCACTTCTGGTTTTCTGGTGGTTTATTGGAGATAGGAGTCTCACGGTCTTTCCTGCCAGGGCTGGCTTTGAACTGCTATCCTCAGATCTCAGCCTCCTGAGTAGCTAGGATTACAGGCGTGAGCCACCAGCGCCCGGCTCCCAGTGAAACTTTTTTTTTTTTTTGGTCCGATCGTGGGGCCTGAACTCTGGGCCTGGGCGCTGTCCCTCAGCTCTTCAGCTCAAGGCTAGCGCTCTACCACTTGAGCCACAGCGCCACTCCCGGCTTTTTTCTTATGTGGTGCTGAGGAATTGAACCCAGGGCCTCATGCATGCAAGGCAAGCACTCTACCAATGAGCCATCTTCCCAGCTCTCCCAGTGAAACTTTTATCTCTAATAAACTAATCAGAAAATCAGAAGTGGTTCTGTGGCCTAAGTGGTAGAGCACTCGCCTTGAGCTGAAGAGCTGAGGGACAGCGCCCAGGCCCAGAGTTCAAGACCCACGACCAAAAAAAAAAAAAAAAAAAAAAGTCTGAAGGACTTTCCCTGCCTGGGCTGGCTTTGAACCGCGATCCTCAGATCTCAGCCTCCTGAGTAGCTAGGATCACAGGTGTGAGCCACCGGCGCCCGGCTTAAGCAATATATTTCTGAGTACCCCAGGACTACCTGAGCAGAGAGATAGGCAAGAAGGAGGGCGGCCGGGATCGGGAGCATGTGCTAGACTCACTTTGGCCAGGTCCAGGCGCAGGGGCCGTGGAGTGGCCCTGCTAGGCACTTCCCCTCTGGCTCTGCTTCTGGGCGATCGGCTGCTGCTGCTACGCCTCAGCTCTGTCTTCCGCTGGGCAATGCTGGCACAGTCGGAGCTGGCCAGGTCCTGCAGGGATGACGAACCTTCTAGAAAGTTCCTGTTGACCCCTCTCCCACATAATTCTCTGAGGCTGCACAGGGGTCCCATGAATCTGAGACCCCTCATGGAGGAGTGGGGATCCAGGCTCAGGATGGAACAGTGGGGGATCCAGGCTCAGGATGGGGCAGTGGGCTCTGGGCTCTTCAGCCATGGACGCCTCCCCTGTTCCGCCACTCCCCAGGTGCTCAGTTGCAGGCTGGGCAGAGCAGCCCATACAGCCTAGGGCTAAGGGCTTGGGCAGGGAGAGAGGAGGACACAGGGCAATCTGAGTCCCAACTGCCCTGTCTATCCAAGGAGAGCCAACCTTGGCTACCACCACCACTCCTGGGCAGCCAGGAGTGAGCTGGGTGGTTGAATCCCTCCCTACCCATGCCTGTACCACCCGTCCCCCCGTGGTGGCAAGACTTCACCTGTGTGGGCCCCTGAAGCTCTGGGGCGCTTGGAGGGCCGGGCGGCAGGGGGCCCCCGCCCTTGCGGCAGACTGTGCGGAGGCAGAGCAACCAGTGGCTGTAGTCCTCGTAGCTGGCGCACACCACACGGATGGTGTTGATGAGGCGGCCTGGAAACAGACACGCGCTGGGGCTTGGAGCAAGGGCGTACTCTGCACCTCACAGAACCCCCAGCAATGAGCTGCGGCATCCACCGGGCTCACGTCCCCCTCGCCCCCCCCAAACCTATCCAGGCCAGGGCAGAGTCTGCGGCGAGATTCCACCTTCAATCAGAAAGGAGCGGATCTGTTTCTCCTTCTCCTCCAGGTTGATGTGGATGGCACTCAGTGGCAGCTCCCCCTGCGGGACACTGAATGAGCGTCTGCCTTTATCCGGGCCTCCTCGCCCCCCGGCCGGCCATTTCCCCTCCCCCCTGCCCTCTAGAGCTCAACTGGGCCTCTTCCCCCCTGCCTCCTGGTGGACCCTTGCCTGCCCACAGCAGATACAGACAGTTGCTTGTGGGGAGGCCAACATGTGCATTTTCCAGTGACACTAGCTGCACACTCTGGCCCCAGAGAAGACACACTCACGCACACATGCAGAGAAAGACACTGGGAAGATGACACTTGGAGGCCCTGGGCCAGCACTTAGGAGGGAGTCCCGGGAGCAGTCTCGCCCTGGCCACTCGCCCCAGGGGTCTGGATGGTGGCTGAGGAGCCTCAGGACAAGATGGATGTGCAGGTGGGGATTCCTCTGCTTCAGACAGAGACCAGACTGACCAGGATAGTGGCCCCATATGGGCATGGCCCGGTGCTCTGTCCCAACAGGCCCAGAAATACAGGTTCCTCTGATCCCAGCTCCCACTCCAGTGGGGCACCACCCTAGGGCGGGTGCACATCTACCTTAAAGATCTACCTTAAAGCTTAGCCCATCTGGCTCCTCAGAGAAAATGGCCAGAGACCCAGGGTATAGGACCAGGAGCCGATCCCACTGCTCCTGCAAAGGGTAAGGGACAGAGCAGCGCTGAGCAGGCCCGCACCTGCCACTGGAACCTCCCCCGCCTCCTTGCGCCCCCATGTTCCTCCACCCACCTGGGAGGGAAGGTGCTGCAGCTTGACCCTTGATGCACAGATGGCACTGTACGCTGACTCCTGCCCCGACGCCCTCTGCAGCCGGTCCAGTCTGCGCTGCAGACTCCAGGAGAGCTCATCCCCCATGGGTCCCTGAGGAGGGGGAAGAAAGAAGAGGAGGGGGAGAGGAGGAGCTCCTCAGAGACAGGCGAGAAGGGCTGGGGCGGGGCAGGGTCTGCCTCCCTGACTCCCCCGACTGGGTCGGGGCACTAACCTGAGGGGGCGCCGAGTGGCAGCGGCGCAGGCCACCGACAAGAGCCATCTGTTTCTCTAGGTGGTAGAGCCAGCGGTGGAGCTCACCCTCACTGTGGCAAAGAACGAGGAGGGGAGCAGGCAGCGGGCCTGGGGGCGGAGGAGCTGAGTGGAGGGCAGTCCCCTTCCCCAGACCTCCCGCGGGCCCGGGCTGGGGCGGACGGCACCACCCACACACCTGTGATCTGGAAGGCATGCTCTCGGGACCCCTCCAGTGGGCAGATGCACAACTCTGTCAGCGGTAGCAGCCCCTGTCACGGTACAGGGCAGGAGAGGCTCAGGACTCCCAGGGGATGTGGGCCATGTCTGCTGTCCTTTTGCCCACACTCCTTACCTGGAGCGTGAGTCCTTCAGAACCATGGGCTTGGAAGTAGAGATGGGAGGGGAACAGTTCCAGGTAGCAGTCACTCGTGTCCTAGGAAAGGGTGGGCCCCCATCTCAGGATCTGGGGACCAAGCTCCAGGCTGGCCAGGATGCTGTCCCTGAGCACGTCCCCACCTGGCATGATCCCTACCTGGCTGTGTTGGAACCGCAACTGAACCTTGGCATAGTGTACAACTTTGCCCAGGTTCCTCACAGATGTCCTCCGCTGCCCCTTCTTGAACACACTCAGGAATGGCTGTTCCAGATTTTCATGTGGATTCTCCAGGCTTGTGATATCCTGAGGAGCAATATCAGGGGAGGGGCCAGAGCCCAGCCGATATACATAGGGCCACTGTTATATGTCTATATTGGCCTGGTCTATCCATGCAGTCACACAATGCATATGTTAAGAACCCACCTACGGGCTGGGAAGGGGGCTCAGCGGTAGAGCGCTTGCCTTGCATGCATGAGGCCCTGGGTTCAATTCCTCAGCACCACAGAAGCAGAAAAAGCTGGAAGTGGTGCTGTGGCTCAAGGGTAGAATGCTAGCCTTGAGCTGAAGAGCTGAGGGACAGCGCCCAGGCCCAGAGTTCAGGCCTCAGGACCAAAAAAAAGAACCCACATATGAGGGCCTGGGAATGTGGCTTAGTGGTAGAATGCTTGCTTAGCATGCAATGGTTCAATTCCTCAGTACCACATACACAGAAAAGTACAGAAATGGCACTCTGGCTCAAGTGTTAGATTGCTATCCTTGAGCAAAAGAAGCTCAGGGACAGTGCCCCAGGCCCTGAGTTCAAGCCCCAGACTGGCAAAAAAAAAAAAAAAACCCAAACAACCAAAAAACAAACACCCAAACCCTACATATGTACAGCTCCTACACACCTCCTTCTCATGAACACAGTGACAGACTATAATACAAGACACACAGACTCACACTACCTGGTCTGTGGTAGAGAGTCTAGGGCTCAGGAGACCAACCCTTACCCCATTATCTCCTAGGCTGTGCAGTCTGGCTTTGGTCATTCTGCCTCCCCAGACTTGCCAAGGAGCTTTGGGGGTATCTAGATGGTCCTCAAAACCCTCCCATGTCTCCAATGTAAGCCAACAAGGGTTAAATACCTGGTTCTATAAAAAACAAAGAAAGCCCCAAGAGTCTGACTTGTACTATTTGACTATTTCCCTGTTACAAATATTCCTGACACCATTCACTTTAAATTACCAGGACGACGCCCGTGAGCGAGCTTGGGCAGTGTTATAGTCAGCTCTCATGAGCCTAAGCTGGCTGCCCCAGCTCACCAACCACACGGGTCTCAGTCACAGCAGGAGCCGAGGTTCTGGCACTGATCCCCGGGATTCTGTATTTCATGCCCCACATCCCCTCCGATGTGCCCTCACATCAGACGCCCGCACGTCTCAGGGCCTTCGTACTTTGCTGCCTCTCTGCTGAGATCATTAAGCTCCAAGTCCCCACCTTGCCCCCTTCAGAGCCGTGCTCAGGTTTTTACCTTCTTCCTGCTTGGATAAAATTCCAACTTTCAGTGGTTGAAAGTGAACTTTACAACTGTGGCTGGGGACAGGAAGGAAAAACTGGGAGAGAGTGAGGGAAGTGATGACGGTGTCCAAAAAGACATGTGCTCTTTGCCTGACTTAGGTAGCTGTAGCCCCACCGTACAACACCTTTATAATAACAATCAAATGGAATAATAAAGCTATTGTACCATTCAAAAATTTTCCCATCTCACTTAAACTGCCCTTCTGTATCTTTTCTTGTTCATGTTACCTGTCACTGTCGAGGGAAAGGTCACACAGTGAAGGCAGGGATGTTGTAGCGATCTATTTTGTGTGCTGTTGTGTCCCAGAGATTCATAGGACTTAGGATGGGCTTTGGGATCTGCGCGTCTGCTGAAAGGAGGGAGGCCAACATCTACACACTAGGCCAGCTGTGGCCCTGAGTCCCCTATCTATGCAGGAGTCAGCCGATCAGAGGCCATGCTCTTTTGGACGCTGCCCAAGGCCACCTGTGCGGACGGCTATCCCTTTGCCAACCTCAGCTGCCCCTTGGGGAAGCCCAGGAATGTGAGGCCCAGCTCACTTCCTCCCTGACTCTGGGTGGGGCCTTGTGCACCCACACACACCCTGTGTGGGAACTGACGCTGCACAGCACCTGTGAAAAATAGGCCATGCAGCTGGCTCCAAGGCCCAGGTTCAGCCGTGGAGTGTGGGGGAGGATTCAGTTTGGAATTGTGGCGGAGTCCACTCAGATCCCAGAAAAGCCTGCTCCATTCCTGCTCCACAGCCCTGTTCACCTTTTGAGGCTCCCTTGCTCCCCTCCAGCTCCTGTGTCCTGGCTGGGGAGGCCCACTAGAGTCACAGTGGCTCATGACGCTCCTTCCTAGTCACACTGCCTCCTGGCCCCAGATGAAAGGGCCACACAGAGAGGGCTCACTTTATGCCCTGCCAGGTGCCCTCATCCTGCCCACTTCTCTGTGAGAGTGTGGCTGCTGGAGCTGCACCTGCCAGTAAGGAGTCCAGAGACCTCAGAGAGCCCACGAGCAGGTGGCACAGGCTTCCCAGCCTGGCGGCAGCCTGCAGGAAAGGCAGAGTCCTGGAAAGGCAGACCAGGTGCCTCGCAAGGGCAGAGCGGGGCCTGCTTCCCACAGCTCAGGGTGCCTTTCCCGGGAGCAGGACTTGGTACACCCTGATGGGCGTGGTTCCAGAAGAACCAGGGGGAGGAGCCTGTCAGACCCGCAGCCCAGGCTCCTGCCATCCCAAAGCCTTCCCAGTTGGGAAAAAAGGAGCAGCAGTCTCTTTCCTTAGCGAGCTCTAAGTCCCCCAGGGTTTGGAGATGGGAAGGGATGTGAGCACTAACCTACAGGTGCACAGGGAGGGGTGCTGGCGTAGAAGAGACAGGGAGCTGTGTGCTGTGGTACAAAGAAGCAGCTTCCTGCAAGATAGCCTGGGGAGAACCTGAAGCCTAGAGTAGGTGTCAGGCTCCAACTCACCATTCACCAGAAACTCCTGACTTCCGGTGGCCCTAGCCGGTCACTGTGAAGGGGTGGGCGGGTGGGTGGCGGCCTCAGGTGTGGGTGCCTACCCGGCTGGGAGGCCCCACCCGGGCGTGCGGCTCACCACTGACTCAGTGCTCGTCTGGGTTTCATTCTTGGCCCAGACTTTCGGCGGATGAGCTAACCCAGGGTAGAACAGTGTCCACTCCCTCACCTTGCCTTTGGTCCGAGCCCCCCACCCCAGGTTGACTAGGGAGATCTTGAGCTATATAGACACAACAGTATCTGTCCCTCTCTCTCACCCACAGACTCCCCCCCACCCCGAGTTCTACAGGAGGGTGCAGGGCAGCACCCAGACCCCAGGCCCCATGCCGTCCCCCACAGCACAGCGGGGGTGGCACACAAGGTGCACAGACCTCGGTGGCTGTTGTGCTCTAGTGGGACACGCCCCTCTGCTCACCGTCCCAGGGATGTAATGGAAGATCTTGTCTGCTGTCGCGTCCCCGTCGGGACTAGCTTCAGTGCCAAATAGGCTGGCCAGCTTCCTCGCGCTGTCCTCTCTGGGGGCAAGGGAAAGAGGGCTCGGAGCCTGGCTCTGGGCAGCAGGCTGAGGGAGACCTTGTGCCCATGGGCCAGACCACCCTCCTCACCTATTTCCCTTCAGTGAGGGCTTTCTGGAGAAGGAGGCCCGCAGCCTCCTTGGGGCCTGGGGAACGCAGTGGCTGTTCCCCATGGGTGGAGGCAGCTGACCTGGGCCAGGCGGTTGGCAGTTCTGGAACCCTCCGTCAAGAACATCCTGCTCCAGCCTCCTGCAGGGGGCGGGGCTGTGGGAGGTCCTGCTCCTCCAGGGGCGGCTCAGAGGAGGAGCTTGTGTGGGAGGGGCCTCACCCCTGCCTGACATCTGGCCATGGTGCTGGAGGGCAGACCAGCCACAACAGGGAAGACACCTCCTTCAGTGGAGAGAATCCCCTACCTCAGCTTTCTGTAGACACAGGGGGGCCCTGGGGCCCGGTGTGTGGACACACTGATGTCAGGTGTTCAGGCTGGGGTGTCTGGGCCCTGCAGTTTGGTGAATGCAGGGACTCTCTCCTTCAAGCAGCCTTCCTCCTACCTCCCACCGCCGCGCCAGCGCACCCTCCCCCCCCCGCAACCTGAGCATACAGTTTGAGTCATTAGTGACTGTCGGGCATGTGCTCACTTGCAGTCACTAAAGCAGGAGTCTGTAACATCCAGAAAGAGAAGCAAGACCTCCCCCCCCTCAGCCTCAGCCAGGGTCCCCAGGGTTTAACTAAATGTAGGAACGCAGCCCTGTGTCTTCTAGGTGCTCAAGTCATAGTCAGAGCCCAGGATGATCAGGAACCTCAGCCCAGGCTAGCAATCAAATCTTTGCTGTTCCACAACACCTGAATGCAGAAGTTCTGCCTTGCAGCCCCCAAAATTAATGCAGCATCTGAACTAGGTTGATTATCCACCTACAGACCCTTACCCTGGTATCCTGATAGTACCCGAGGCTGTCCCACACACAGCAGGGACTGAACGGACCAGAGATGGACACTCAGCCTCAGGCCATGTAGCCCAGGAAACAGGTTTATTTTCAAGTTGGCTCATATTGCTGTGTAGGGTCTGAGTGCATTGTGTGTGCCCAGCTCCACACAAGATCCAGAAAAGACAAAGCTTTATGCAGATCCACATACAATGTGCTTTCTGCCTTCCTAGGATAGTGCCTGGCTGGGTCTAGTAAGTACAGTGTACAAAGCACTGGCTAGGGATCTGCATCTTCTGAAGAAGTCCCAATCCCTACTCTTGCTTTGTTAACCTGGCTGCTACTCTGCAGCCGCCCGCCGTCTGCGGAGCCCGGACGGGCCACGGGCCTCTCCTGAAGTACCCACCCCCATCATTTCCCACTGCTCGCAGGCAGTGGAAAGACATTCTAGAGGGCTGCTTGGTCCCCTGCAGGGAGGTGACCCTTGAGAGTAAACACCTGAACTGGTAGCTGCAGCACTGCTCCTCTGTCATAAATAATCCATACATAATAAATAAGCAAGTTGACAGACGGCACAAACATAAACAAACAGAGATGAAGGCAGACACGTGGACGGACGGTACACGAAGTCCCTGGTGGGGGCCGTCATTGCCCCCAACATACAGCCAAGGAGCGGGAGGCGTGGGGCGCCTCCCAAGGCTTAAGGCATGTGGGAGGCTGTGGGCCTCGGTGCAGTCTTCACCCAGGTCAGAGGCTGGTAGAGGACACTGACAGCGTAGGTGAGGATGGTGGGGGGAAGTTCAGCAGCTCCAGCACCGCCACTCCCACACTGCTGCGCCTCGTGAACATGCAGGACGCAGCCACCCATTTGTTGGTCCTCGGGTTGTACTTCTCAATGGAGTTAAGGCTGGAGCTGCCGTCATTGCCCCCGACCGCATACAGCCAACCATCCATGGCCACCAGGTCATGTGTGCTCCTGGAGACGGGCGGGCCAGGGTAAGTGCCGGGAGTAGCTAAGGGAGCAGCGCACGAGAGCACTGCTGGGAGGTGGGGCTGAGAGGGCCAAGGGAAGCCACAGGGTGGGTGAGGACCACAGGGCAGGAAGAATCAAGACCTGCTGCCAGGGTCATGCACAACCCCTGGAGCTACCCTCCAGGACGACCTGCGGTGGGTGCCGGACATGCTGACCTGCGGATGTTCATGGGCGCCACGCTCTCCCAGGCACCGGCTTTGGGGCTGTACCTCTCCACGGAGTTCAGGCAGCTGGTGCCATCGTTGCCCCCGGCCACATACAGGGCACCCTCCAGCACAGCCACGCCTGCTGAGCTGCGACGGCTCAGCATGGAGGCCACGGGAGTCCAGGAGTTCACCTGTGGCAGCAAGAGGAGGGCTGGAAGTTGACACGACGTAGAGGGGCCTCCTGCCCCTACCACAATACAGACCCTGCTCCAGGGCGAGTGACTAGAGGACAGGTAAGATATTGGGGCGACACCCCTGCAGGGGTGATGATGATGGGGTGCATTATGCACCTGGGGCTCATACTTCTCCACGGTGGCCAGGTGTGATGAGCTGTCGTAACCACCCACAGCATACAGGTTCCCATCTGCAGAGAGGCAATGTACCCATAATGCTCTTGCTGGCTACAAGGGCTGGGGACGGGGAGAGCAGGCACCACAGGAAGCAGGCCCTGTCACCCACCAAGTGTGGCCACGCGCACATATCGCCTCCGGGTGCTCATGGCAGCGACGGACGTCCACGTTCCCGTCAGTGGGTCGTATCGTTCGGCACTGTGGGCACCAGACTACTGCTGACCATCAGCCAGGACCGGCCCTTCCCAGTGGCATGGCTGAAATCCCATGCTGGTAACCACAAAGGCCATGACCCCAAAGTGCTAGCAAGGCCTGCCAGGTAGGCAGACTACCGGCTGCCCAGATGAATATCCTAACCAAGTGTCCCCCTGGGCCTAGACCTCGAACTGAGGGGAGAGCCCTAGAGGGGAAATGGGGTGATATGGAGCCCTGGCCTTGCTGATGGGTGCCCAGGGTCAGGTTGGACCTCTCTCTATTCCTCCTTTACGGTGTGACTTAGTGGTCACAAGACAGCCGTACCTCCCAGTGCTGAGCCAGCCCTGCAAGGCCCGGGGGGCTCCCCCCCAGCTACTACCTCCCAGTGCTGAGCCAGCCCTGCAAGGCCCGGGGCCTCCCCCCAGCTACTACCTGTTGAGGCAAGAGGCCCCATCGTAGCCGCCCGCTGCGTACAGAAGCCCATGCAGGGCGGCTACACCCAGGCAGCTTCGCCTTGTGCCCATGGATGCCTCCGGCTGCCACGCGTTGGTCACAGGGTCATAGGACTCCACAGTAGCCAGGTCTGAGGTCCCATCGTAGCTACGAGAGGGGTCCACTACAAGTCAAGGCCCGCACGGCAGGCACACACAAAGACCCGACCCAAGTCCAGACTCCATGCTTACCCGCCCACAGCATACAGCCGGTTCCCGACGGCAGCCACCCCTACACGGGCCCGGCGTGTGGACATGGAGGCCACCACATGCCAGCGGTCAGTGCGAGTATCGTATGCTTCACAGTCCCCATGGATGGCAAAGAGGCTCCCACCACCTGGGGAGAAGGGGGTGGCAGGGTAGGAGAGGCCCCAGGAAGTAGTGGGAAGAGGCTCCAGCACAGCCCGAGAGTCAGGGGCAGAAAGAGATAAGATTGGGTCAAAACTGACGAATCACAACCCACAGGGTCCTTAAATAGCCCCTGAGTTGAAGAGGAAGCAAGAAGCAGGACAAGATCTGAATACTGTGATAGGGGTAGAGGGAAGGTCCAACATGGGGACCAGTGGAGAAAGGGATCAAGCATACCGACTGCAAACAGCACAGGGCCAGCACCTTCGCAGCGCCGGGGCCGAGTGCGGCTGGTGCCCAGAACGCCTCTCTGCTCGGGCAGCAGGTGGAACTTGAGGGCCTCGATGAGCAGGTCTTTGCAATCAGGGTGGTGCCTCACCAGGCCCTCGGCATCCACATGGCCCAGCAGGAAGTCACGGCTCAGGAGGGGCAGCCGAACACACTTCATCAGCTGAGGCAGGGATGTCAAGGTCAGGCACGACGCGCTGGCACACCTGCCCCAGGCCTAAGAACCTGCTCAGGTCCCCAAGTACTTGCACTGCTTCCTCAGAATCCCCGAATAGGAGAGGCTAGAGACTCCTGCGGGCAAGCTTAGATCTTAGTCCTCTGCTTCCTCTCCCAGACACAAGAGTTCCCGGGCAGGGCCTCACCCTTGGGACATGCTGCCTCCGTGTGTCTACATCATGTTTGACCCAGCTTAGGACCGCACGGTAGACATCCTCCTCAGAAGGCACATTCAGGCTGTCACTAGAGACCAGTTCCAGCACCTGGGGGTTAGGGGCACTGACCTCAGATCTGAGGGAGCAGGGAACTCTGAAGGTACCTGGGAGGGAGAATCTGATGGGGCAGGGAGGAGCCAAATAGGAGTCAGCATCCATAGGTCTGGCTGGTGGGGGCAGGGCCAAGGTTCTGAGTGCTCTGGGACCATGGAATTAAGAGACTGGGGATTATGAAGGGAGACACAGTAAGGACAGAGGTTAAAAGGTAAAGGCTTGGGTGGAGTTTGAAGACAGGGACAAGGTGAAGGCTGTCAGAGGATGGATTGGTTATGGATCCACAGGTCAGAGCTAGGGATGAAGGTTGCTGGGGTCTGGGCTGGGGGTGTGGCAGGACCTGGGCTGGTGTGTTACCTGCTTCAGTGGCAGCAGCATGAACTCCTCCGTCTTGGCCACGTCCACGAAGTGCTGCAGCACATACCTGTGTGCCGCCTTGAGCAGGTCACCGCATGAGTGCGTGTCTGCAAAGCCACGGATGCCCAGGCAGTTAGAGGGGTCGAGCTGACTCAGCAAGAACTTGCAGCAGGCATCGCGAACACCATTCAGCTGCAGGAGGCTGGCAGCCGGGAGCAGAGTCTGTGGGCATGAAGATGGGGTGGCGCAGGTGGGGTGGAGAGGCAGCCGGGAGCAGAGTCTGTGGGCATGAAGATGGGGTGGCGCAGGTGGGGTGGAGAGGCAGCCGGGAGCAGAGTCTGTGGGCATGAAGATGGGGTGGTGCAGGTGGGGTGGAGAGGCAGCCGGGAGCAGAGTCTGTGGGCACGAAGATGGGGTGGTGCAGGTGGGGTGGAGAGGCAGCCGGGAGCAGAGTCTGTGGGCACGAAGATGGGGTGGTGCAGGTGGGGTGGAGAGGCAGGAGAGACTAGGAATAGAAGACAGGCCTGGGGGCGAGGGCGCCTCACCTGCACATTGCCCTCGCCCACCACAATCTCCGCTGTGTACGCAAACTGCACCAGCTGGTCCAGAGCCTGAGGGTCGATGTCATGCAGCGTCACGTGCGTCTGGCGGCTCTCACTCATCTCATCTGTGGGAACAGGGAGTCAGGCTGGTGCTCGACCCGGGCCATCTGGAGAAGGCCCCCAAGTGTCGCCCAGAGTGTGGTACTTGCTTGTGAACATGGCGTGGAAGTAGGGGCTGCAGGAGGCCAGCACCACCTTGTGCGCGCGGATCTCCTTGGCAGCCACGTGCAGGACGATGTCACAGAGGAGGCCGCGCTGCCGCATCCGGCTCATCACCACGAAGGCATCGTGGTAATGCCGCTTGGAGTTGTGAGCGACACTGTGGCCCTCGCGGCTCAGCAGCTGCATGGCACCTTCCATGGGGGCTGCAGGCCTGGCCTGCCTGGGCCGAGCTCGCTCTGCCTCAGGGCTGCAGGCGGGCAGGGCAAGGTCAGGAGCTGCCTCGCTGGGAGCCACTCACCCCCCCCCCTTGAAGTCCTCAGGTCCATCCTCAGCAGTCCGGTCCAGCAACCCTTCCAGGGCCACCCTGCGCTTCCCTCGGGTCCCGGGACCTCCTGGAGCCGGACCAGACTTTCCCCCCATGGCCTGGGGTCAGGGGCCTGAGGCCTGGGTCCTGGTTCTCGGCCCCCACGAACAGCGAACAGC